CAGAAAGAGATAGCCAATGACCTCCAATGAAAATTACAGTCGACGAACGATTGACACCAATCAAGGATTATAAGCAAGAAGGGTTGTCTATTATTGTCAAGCACCAATACCTTTGAAACGTCACTGAAGATGCGCGTCTCCTTTTTGTGTGGCCCTTCGTCTTTACCCGGGCTATGTTTCGATATCAAATATCAGTTCTGAATTTACTTCATTGGAATTTACTGTGCTGATTTAACTGTCATTTGCCGTTCCGATTTCAACAGCATACCGGTTTTGCTGGAAAAAAAGCTACAGGTTTCAGCACTAGCTGCACTGTCCTGTTAACGATCATGACAACAACGAATAACGTTAAACCACATAAGGAAAGTTCCAACTTTTTGGCTACAGTCGATCCAGTAAATATTAATGACGTGATTCAGTACTGAATCAGTGTACTGAAAATAATATCGGAATGGCATCCAGTAAATTCAGTACTGACAGGTGATATGGGAACATAGCCCCGATCAGTGCTTTATTCTGACTTCATACTTTTAAGTCTAAAAGTTGTATGAAGGAGGGAATATAGTTTTAAAGAAGTTTCTCTCCTTAACACACGATGCTACGTATAATTTTTATTTTTATATTTTGTTTCAAATGTATTTTTACTCAAGGAGAAAAAATAATATTGACATGTAGAACCGGGCCCCTTGAGCTACCGGGCCCGTGTTCCGCGGAACACGCGGAACACCGGTGACTACGCCCCTGATGTCCGGCACGGTTTTTTAGTTCGAATGGCCTCACGGGTGTTGCTGTATGTATCAGTACACTGCAAACTATATAGAGACTCTTCTAATCCAAATTACACATCTTGGCTCGATGTTTTAATATCCTTTAGATAGCTGGATGCTAACTCCTATATCTCTCTTAGACGCGGTTTTTGGACTGGACATTAATATAGATTTGCTTTATGATTTTACGGTTGATTTTACCTTCAGTAGCTAAAAATATTAGTCTTTAAATTTTCACTACCCTAATCTAATAAGAAAATTCGGATTCCAGATATCAATCAAATTCTCGATTCTCTATCAATAATGATTTAGAATATTGTATAATTATTGCGGAAATGTTTGTTAGCCAGTAAAAAATTACCTTCGGGATACATAGGTATGTGTTGGGATCTGTTTCCAACATCCTTTATAATATTACAGTTTTCCGCATTTGAATGTATTCAGGGAAGGCTGACGCTGGCAACATTTCTCATGTTAACCTTCACTTTTGTAGTCTGCCTTCTGCCGTGTCTGCAGCTCTGCGTGCAACATGGTAAAAAGTTAGTTCTTCTTAACGATATATTTATAAATTTGATAGACAAAAATTAATAACTCTGCCCTATAGGCAGTAGATAAAGTAAGCTCTGGCCTCAAGCCATCTTACCGTGTATATTTGTGTAGGTAAATAATGTTTATAGTATCAATAAAGTGTATACAGGGTGTCAATTTGAAAACTTCCCACCTTATTATCTCGGAGTAGAGAAATTTTTAACGTTAACTATAATTTGAGGGGGGATGAGTTTTTATGCAAAATTCATCTCCCCCCTTTCAACCCCCCAGCCCCCAGAGCTACCCCCTAGAAAATTTTAAATGGGAAGGGGGGTCGAGTGATACATCATTATGGAGGGTTTTTGATTCCATACATTTTGGTACAAAATTTTAATCTCTAAATTCAACTGTTTTGGAAAATATTGACAGTTGAAAATTGACTTTTTTGCAACTTTGACAGGCTGTAAAACCTAAACGGTTAATTTTAGAGGAAAACCGATCTCACATTCTTATCTTGGATTTTTATAAACTATCATTTGACAGCAACTTCGAATTTAATCCACGATCAAAAATTCCGGTTGAAAATTTAATCTCCGGTAAAATTCAAAAATGGTGTCAAATGATAGTTAATGAAAATCTAAGATAAGAATGTAAGATCGGTTTTCCTCTAAAATTAACCGTTTAGGTTTTACAGCCTGTCAAAGTAGCAAAAAAGTCAATTTTCAACTGTGAATATTTCCAAAACAGTTGAACTTAGGGACTAAAATTTAGCACCAAAATGTATGGAATTAAAAACCCTAGAAAATGATGTATCACTCGACCCCCCTTCCCATTTAAAATTTTCTAGGGGGTGGCTCTGGGGGCCGGGGGGTTGAAAGAGGGAAGATGAATTTTGCATAAAAACTCATCCGCCTTCAAATTATAGTTGACATGTTTCAGGGATTTTTTCAAAAATTTTTCTACTCCGAGATAATAGGGGTGGGAAGTTTTCAAATTAACACCCTGTATAGTGTAAATAGAATTCGGAGTTTTCTCAGACTTGTAACCCTTAGGTATAAACTTAGTGAAATCTTAGAGGAATTTAAACAATGTAAATTATTTCTTAAATCTAACCCTGAACTGATAGGTTATGCGCTTCAACAAGGGTTCCCTACGGTTGAAATTCTATTATGTATAGGATAAAATCTATGAAGAAAATGTATAGTACACAAGCCAATGAGCTGATTGAAGAAATTACACAAAAAAAGCATAAGTGATGGTCTCGCAAAATAGGTTCATGCAAAATAGGTTAGAAGATAGTTTCTTCTTAGTTTTATGTTTTTCCCAGAATCTATAAATAGAATCTTAGCCTGGAGACCAGCTGTGTTTAGAATCCTTATAATTTGGCAACTATGTTGCATGAGATTTTATCATCAGTTACTTTTGAATATAATGCAAAATAATTCATTTGAGTTTGTAAAATAGTACTCGTACACTGGACGTATAATCTCTCTAATGTTCACACACAAAATACCAAAAACTCTTATTTTGTTACGAAATTTCATTTTATAGCTAAAATCAAGTTTCAAGAAATATACCTAAGTATGATTATCTTCTATTCTATTCTCATTGTCGTCGATTGTGGGTTTTTTGATGGCTATGTAAACCAATTCCAGAGCCGCAAACTCTTCCACAGTCTTGGCACACCCAGTCTCTGGCAGCATTGTCTCTCCCTCTGTTCTTTCGCTCCTTTCTGCGGTCCCTCTTTTCGATCTCGTGGTACATGTACTACAGCAAACAGCTAAAATTGATCAAGCTAAGCAAATGTAAGAGAAAGAAAACAAGAACACAATTGGCTACAGAAGAGTTTCAAATTTCATCGAATGTATTCAAACCATAATCTCTGAGGAACAAACTAAACTCGAGAAAATCCTGGAAGGGCAAGATAATGAAACTAAGAATACAATGGAAGAAAGCTATGGAAAGTTTACAAGAATTTGAAACCGATATTCGCCGTCTGGTTAATTTGGCCTACCTGGAAGCAACAGCAGAAATGTAAAAACAAGTAGCGTCCGAAAATTTCATCCATGGCATTAGAGATACATATGGATGTACACAGAATGCTAATCATGTCCAAACCATCAAGCATCGACAAAGTTCGCATCAAAGTTCTAAGACATCCAAACCAAAAATCAGAGCTGCATCAATATAAGCAGAAAAATAACCAATAGCGGAAATGACGACTGACTCAACAAAGGACTTAAAGGCGGAGCATTTGATGGAAGCAATACGGAAGATTGTTACCAGAATCAAACAAGGAAACTTGAGGCTACGGAAGACGAGGATACATTAAGCGTGACTCTAGATATCGCTCTCCTTCTGGGTCCTTATTCTTGAAACAGGGGAGAGGCGTTTCCCGGAGAACGACTGTTCCGTCTTTGTCACTTATATTATCATTTGCATATTATTATCATTGATAAAGACGGAACGTTGTTCCCCTGTTCCAAGAATAAGGACACTGGTGACATTCGGCCTTCAATGAGGAGCTTGAATAGGGGCACCGAATATTAACGCTATGGAAGAAGACATTTTAAATGTGACTGTAGAATACCGCTGAGATCTCGCTCCCATTTGGGTGACTCTCAGCGTGAAATAGGTACTTCCTGTCAGAAGCCTCCAATGTGGAACTGATCAAGAACGGACTTCCGAACAGCTTACAAGTGATTAATTAGCAGATAGGGATGTCAAACCGTTTTCTTCAACCAACTGGGGAAAAAAAATCCAGAGAACGAAAGAAGAAAAACCGGGAACAAAAATATTGGTTGGATACGACTGCTGGTTCAGGTCAATATCATTATTTAAACAGACGCTCTACAGATTCCTACAATGAAGAACTACGCGTGCTACGATCCTCCGCGCAGGCGCAGACAAGGCGACAACAGGTAATTTCTCTAGTTTCCGTGACGCGTGACGTCAGCACATGGGGAGACATGGATGGACAGGAAGGCACCCTGGAACTTGGTGGGGATTTATTTGACAAACAAACAGATTTCTCTAAAATCAGATCGTGGCAGTGTTACATTAAAATGGTGCGGAGGTGTCGACGCAGCTATATTTTTGACTGCCGAGCGCGAGTATTCCGAAATCCCATTGTTTGATTTAAATTAACAAGCATTCACGCAATTGATTTTTACGACCACCAACCTTACATTGATTTATTATCGATTAATTATTCGGTATCTTTTCAATCTGAAATCTATTACAGAAAAATTGTAATACCTACTTAGCTAATTTATGGACGTATTTATAATAAAAACAACACTAAGAGAGATTGATTTAGCCGATACTTTATCTATTACAAATTTTGAAAGGCAACAAAAAAAAATTCTGGATTTCCAAAATTTTGTTCAAATGATGTACACAGTATCATTAAATTAAAATTGTGGTAATCTAGAAACTTTTTTGTTCCCTTAAAATTTTAAAAACAACAATGTTTATCATAATAAATACGCACTTATTCGTAGCAAAGTTTTCAAAACCAACTTTTGTTTTGACGATTCTGCCCTAAATATACCTACAAAGCAGCACACTGCACACTGGCCGCTGGCCAAATCTGAGCTAAGTATACAAATAACTTTCAAAAATTGGTTTTGGATTTACCTGACTTACTCTCTAATAAACAATTGCAAAAGTTGCATTGTTCTTAGAAATCTTTTTTTGTTATAGACTAAAGAAAATGGTAGATTTGTTAACAAACCGGCAGTTTGACTCGTATCCTTATTTTTCATCCAACTCCATCACCTCCAGCCATAAAAATGAAACTATTTCATCCCTGAGATGCTACGAAAAAGATAAAGGAGCAGAATTAAAGGTAAATCGGTTATTGTTTTAAGGTGAGCTAATCATACTTATTGCATATTATTTTATACGGCTCCGTATTATTTTGTTTTATATTTATGTAGGCTCGAGAAAAGCAGTTATATTTTGGTAAAAAATCAGTCCCCGAAGTCAGTGCCAGAGTGAGTCGGCCGCTTATGGGTTTATGTTGTCAAAACTGCACCTTTACCAGCAAGGTAAGTTGAAATTACTTTTGAAATACCTACCAATTCTAAAAAAATGAAAACGAATAATTTATTTAATTAACATGATGGGCTTTCACACATTATATTCTAAAAATATAATACCGCTGCTATTTTACGCGTGTGAAGTTAGCACCCGATTTCCAGCAACGATTTTTCAGGAGAAGCGCATTACCGCCAGCGGTAGTTTAAATTCTAACGTTTTGGACGTCGGCAATGATAAATACATAGGTATAAAAAAAGCAAGTTTTTAAAATTTCTACAGAAAAAAAACTTTTCATCAGTAGGAAATTTGTGTTTTCCAAGAATGTGTTTTCCAATACAAAATTGACATGACAGAAAACATTGTTTTTTTCGAAAACTAAAAGATGTGTCACTCTAATTTTTTTTTCAAAATGAAGATCTGATAATAAGCTTTCATTAAATCCACCAGAGAAAAATTTTTCATCGGTAGAAAATTTTTTATCAGTGAAAATTCGAGAAGGTGATTTCGAACACGAAACTAATATGAAAGGAAATATATTTTTTTTTTTCGAAAACTAAAAGATGTGTCACTCTAATTTTTTTTTCAAAATGAAGGTCTGATAATAAGCTTCCATTAAATCCACCAGAGAAAAATTTTGCATCGGTAGAAATTTTTTTATCAGTGAAAATTCGAGAAGGTGTTTTCGAACACGAAACTAATATGAAAGGAAATATTTTTTTTTTTTCGAAAACTAAAAGATGTGTCACTTTAATTTTTTTTTCAAAATGAAGATCTGATAATAAGCTTCCATTAAATCTACCAGAGAAAAATTTTGCATCGGTAGAAATTTTTTTATCAGTGAAAATTCGAGAAGGTGTTTTCGAACACGAAACTAATATGAAAGGAAATATATTTTTTTTTTCGAAAACTAAAAGATGTGTCACTCTAATTTTTTTTTCAAAATGAAGGTCTGATAATCAGCTTCCATTAAATCCACCAGAGAAAAATTTTTCATCGGTAGAAATTTTTTTATCAGTGAAAATTCGAGAAGGTGTTTTCGAACACGAAACTAATATGAAAGGAAATATATTTTTTTTTTCGAAAACTAAAAGATGTGTCACTCTAATTTTTTTTTCAAAATGAAGATCTGATAATAAGCTTCCATTAAATCCACCATAGAAAAATTTTGCATCGGTAGAAATTTTTTTATCAGTGAAAATTCGAGAAGGTGTTTTCGAACACGAAACTAATATGAAAGGAAATATATTTTTTTTTTCGAAAACTAAAAGATGTGTCACTCTAATTTTTTTTTCAAAATGAAGATCTGATAATAAGCTTCCATTAAATCTACCAGAGAAAAATTTTGCATCGGTAGAAATTTTTTTATCAGTGAAAATTCGAGAAGGTGTTTTCGAACACGAAACTAATATGAAAGGAAATATATTTTTTTTTTCGAAAACTAAAAGATGTGTCACTCTAATTTTTTTTTCAAAATGAAGGTCTGATAATCAGCTTCCATTAAATCCACCAGAGAAAAATTTTTCATCGGTAGAAATTTTTTTATCAGTGAAAATTCGAGAAGGTGTTTTCGAACACGAAACTAATATGAAAGGAAATATATTTTTTTTTTCGAAAACTAAAAGATGTGTCACTCTAATTTTTTTTTCAAAATGAAGGTCTGATAATCAGCTTCCATTAAATCCACCAGAGAAAAATTTTTCATCGGTAGAAATTTTTTTATCAGTGAAAATTCGAGAAGGTGTTTTCGAACACGAAACTAATATGAAAGGAAATATATTTTTTTTTTCGAAAACTAAAAGATGTGTCACTCTAATTTTTTTTTCAAAATGAAGATCTGATAATAAGCTTCCATTAAATCCACCATAGAAAAATTTTGCATCGGTAGAAATTTTTTTATCAGTGAAAATTCGAGAAGGTGTTTTCGAACACGAAACTAATATGAAAGGAAATATATTTTTTTTTTCGAAAACTAAAAGATGTGTCACTCTAATTTTTTTTTCAAAATGAAGGTCTGATAATAAGCTTCCAATAAATCCACCAGAGAAAAATTTTTCATCGGTAGAAATTTTTTTATCAGTGAAAATTCGAGAAGGTGTTTTCGAACACGAAACTAATATGAAAGGAAATATATTTTTTTTTTCGAAAACTAAAAGATGTGTCACTCTAACTTTTTTTTCAAAATGAAGATCTGATAATAAGCTTCCATTAAATCCACCAGAGAAAAATTTTTCATCGGTAGAAATTTTTTTATCAGTGAAAATTCGAGAAGGTGTTTTCGAACACGAAACTAATATGAAAGGAAATATATTTTTTTTTTTCGAAAACTAAAATATGTGTCACTCTAATTTTTTTTTCAAAATGAAGATCTGATAATAAGCTTCCATTAAATCCACCAGAGAAAAATTTTTCATCGGTAGAAATTTTTTTATCAGTGAAAATTCGAGAAGGTGTTTTCGAACCCGAAACTAATATGAAAGGAAATATATTTTTTTTTTCGAAAACTAAAAGATGTGTCACTCTAACTTTTTTTTCAAAATGAAGATCTGATAATAAGCTTCCATTAAATCCACCAGAGAAAAATTTTTCATCGGTAGAAATTTTTTTATCAGTGAAAATTCGAGAAGGTGTTTTCGAACACGAAACTAATATGAAAGGAAATATATTTTTTTTTTTCGAAAACTAAAATATGTGTCACTCTAATTTTTTTTTTCAAAATGAAGATCTGATAATAAGCTTCCATTAAATCCACCAGAGAAAAATTTTTCATCGGTAGAAATTTTTTTATCAGTGAAAATTCGAGAAGGTGTTTTCGAACACGAAACTAATATGAAAGGAAATATATTTTTTTTTTCGAAAACTAAAAGATGTGTCACTCTAATTTTTTTTTCAAAATGAAGGTCTGATAATAAGCTTCCAATAAATCCACCAGAGAAAAATTTTTCATCGGTAGAAATTTTTTTATCAGTGAAAATTCGAGAAGGTGTTTTCGAACACGAAACTAATATGAAAGGAAATATATTTTTTTTTTCGAAAACTAAAAGATGTGTCACTCTAACTTTTTTTTCAAAATGAAGATCTGATAATAAGCTTCCATTAAATCCACCAGAGAAAAATTTTTCATCGGTAGAAATTTTTTTATCAGTGAAAATTCGAGAAGGTGTTTTCGAACACGAAACTAATATGAAAGGAAATATATTTTTTTTTTTCGAAAACTAAAATATGTGTCACTCTAATTTTTTTTTTCAAAATGAAGATCTGATAATAAGCTTCCATTAAATCCACCAGAGAAAAATTTTTCATCGGTAGAAATTTTTTTATCAGTGAAAATTCGAGAAGGTGTTTTCGAACACGAAACTAATATGAAAGGAAATATATTTTTTTTTTCGAAAACTAAAAGATGTCACTCTAATTTTTTTTTCAAAATGAAGGTCTGATAATAAGCTTCCAATAAATCCACCAGAGAAAAATTTTTCATCGGTAGAAATTTTTTTATCAGTGAAAATTCGAGAAGGTGTTTTCGAACCCGAAACTAATATGAAAGGAAATATATTTTTTTTTTCGAAAACTAAAAGATGTGTCACTCTAATTTTTTTTTCAAAATGAAGGTCTGATAATAAGCTTCCAATAAATCCACCAGAGAAAAATTTTTCATCGGTAGAAATTTTTTTATCAGTGAAAATTCGAGAAGGTGTTTTCGAACACGAAACTAATATGAAAGGAAATATATTTTTTTTTTCGAAAACTAAAAGATGTGTCACTCTAACTTTTTTTTCAAAATGAAGATCTGATAATAAGCTTCCATTAAATCCACCAGAGAAAAATTTTTCATCGGTAGAAATTTTTTTATCAGTGAAAATTCGAGAAGGTGTTTTCGAACACGAAACTAATATGAAAGGAAATATATTTTTTTTTTCGAAAACTAAAAGATGTGTCACTCTAATTTTTTTTTCAAAATGAAGGTCTGATAATAAGCTTCCAATAAATCCACCAGAGAAAAATTTTTCATCGGTAGAAATTTTTTTATCAGTGAAAATTCGAGAAGGTGTTTTCGAACACGAAACTAATATGAAAGGAAATATATTTTTTTTTTCGAAAACTAAAAGATGTGTCACTCTAACTTTTTTTTCAAAATGAAGATCTGATAATAAGCTTCCATTAAATCCACCAGAGAAAAATTTTTCATCGGTAGAAATTTTTTTATCAGTGAAAATTCGAGAAGGTGTTTTCGAACACGAAACTAATATGAAAGGAAATATATTTTTTTTTTTCGAAAACTAAAATATGTGTCACTCTAATTTTTTTTTTCAAAATGAAGATCTGATAATAAGCTTCCATTAAATCCACCAGAGAAAAATTTTTCATCGGTAGAAATTTTTTTATCAGTGAAAATTCGAGAAGGTGTTTTCGAACACGAAACTAATATGAAAGGAAATATATTTTTTTTTTCGAAAACTAAAAGATGTCACTCTAATTTTTTTTTCAAAATGAAGGTCTGATAATAAGCTTCCAATAAATCCACCAGAGAAAAATTTTTCATCGGTAGAAATTTTTTTATCAGTGAAAATTCGAGAAGGTGTTTTCGAACCCGAAACTAATATGAAAGGAAATATATTTTTTTTTTCGAAAACTAAAAGATGTGTCACTCTAATTTTTTTTTCAAAATGAAGGTCTGATAATAAGCTTCCAATAAATCCACCAGAGAAAAATTTTTCATCGGTAGAAATTTTTTTATCAGTGAAAATTCGAGAAGGTGTTTTCGAACACGAAACTAATATGAAAGGAAATATATTTTTTTTTTCGAAAACTAAAAGATGTGTCACTCTAACTTTTTTTTCAAAATGAAGATCTGATAATAAGCTTCCATTAAATCCACCAGAGAAAAATTTTTCATCGGTAGAAATTTTTTTATCAGTGAAAATTCGAGAAGGTGTTTTCGAACACGAAACTAATATGAAAGGAAATATATTTTTTTTTTCGAAAACTAAAAGATGTGTCACTCTAATTTTTT